TAATTATTAGCATTTATTGTGTTAAAATTTGGCATTGTGGCTAATCTCTCATTCAAAGTTCACGAATGAAAATTTTGAAAACGATATTTCAAAGCTTGTAAAATAATCATTTGTGTTTGAAGTGTTCCAAAATTTACTATGTTGTAGAATTTAATATGGTAAAATGGTTGATTATTATGTGAAAGATCATCGTATTAGTAAAAAAAATCGACTTTTCATAGTACGTACCATATTTATTCATTGTTTTAAATTTTTAACGACTGTTCTAATTTTAGTTGACCCCTCTGTACAATCACATAAATTATTCAGGCATTTTTTACATGTTGCAGAAAGTTTAATCGAAAAAATTTTAATTCTATGCGAGATATTATGAATTTCTATCAGTAGTGTTTCGGCGAAACCGAAAATAGTTTCTCCCGAAACACTAATGGTGTATCTCTATTTTATTGGATTTAAACATAACATGACATGAACAAAAAGCAAATAAATAAATAAATTCTTATCTCTCTTTTTCTAAAAAAAGACACCGTTTATAATTTTCATCATCGCAACTTTATTTCCTATAATCATAAATTTTTTTCCTTCTTTATAATCATCAATCCTAAACGTAACTATATATCGATATCGATATCAAAAGATTCCAATTCCAAAAAAGTCACAGTTGTCATGTGTCATTATAAAAATAGGGTGCAGAAAATTAAGTTGTTCTGAAAGACAAAAGAAGATTCCCGCAGAGTTCACAAAGATTTCTGATCACACAAAGATAAAATAAGAAATATAGATTTTATACGTACTGTATACGTATACATGTTTTAAATACATGTATAAAAATAAAATACATGTATATACATGTATTAAATAAGGAAAAAGACGATCATCAGGTGGAATTTTGTTTTAAAACTCGAATTTAAATTCTTTTTTCTTTGCTTTTTTCTCTTCCTTTCTCCTGCCCTTCTGATGGTTGATTTCTGCTACTTCTCTTCTTTACCCATTCGAGAATAACTTTTTCTGCATTAGTTATTGACGAAAAAAATATTTTCTCTTGAATTAGCTTTTTTAAAAGCTTTAATGATCTACTATATAATAATAGAGAAGTAGAAGTAGTAGTATCACATTTTGAGTATTTAACGTCGAGAGAAAAAATCCAATCGTTTTTATTACTTAACGGTTTGTTCCTTGCTCTAATTAAGTTCGAATTCATTTCTGTAAAATATCCAAACAATCAACACGCGTCCCATTTTTTTTTAAATTCAGACAGTCTATAGACCTTCAGCAGGTGATTCTTTACAAAATTATACAAAGTATAACATGGCAAAAAAAAGTTCGCATCAGAAAGGACTTGGTCATTTTTGTTTTTGCATGGGATTACGATTTGGTTCAATTTTTTTGACCGTATTCTGGCTGGTAAGTACAAATTATATTTTTATGATGATATCTTAATTCACATAACCTTAAATTATCTTTTTATCTAGGCAGGAGCAATATTAGCGATGTTTATACTTGTAAAGGAACTACGTAAGTACATTAATGTTATTAATGATTCTGTTGTATTTGTACATGTTTCTTCTAATCTACAATTTAACAATCTACAATTTATCAAGCGCATCAAACGAGTAAAGGTTTAACGATAACATTCCTATCATTTTCATCAATAACGGTAATATTTGCAATTTATGGTCTATACGCACTGACGATACGGGTAATTATAATTGATTCATATTCTCAATGATTTTCCCTTTAACGGTAGACTAAATACTCCTTTTCTATTCATCCAGAATACAAATCAATCAATACGAACGTATTCAAAATTGGCATGGATTCTAATGGTCTTAATCTGGTCAATCTTAGATCTAGCGGCAGTAATATTATCTTTCTTGTCATATCACACTTCACTTGAGGATTGCCAAGAATCAGATGCACTTTGCGAACGTCAGATAAAAAATGATATTATCAAATCAGTGGCAGGAAATTTGGCTGCGTGTTCTATTAATGTAAGTTTAATATCAATTTCGATTTTTCTGTTCGTGCCAAATTTCAATTCTAATCATTATTTTCTATTTGATAGACTTATTTCGCAATTATGTTAAGAGCTTATCTCGCCAGGCGCGAAGCTAAAATCCGAGTAAAAAAAAGCGGGCGCGACTCGCTCACTTCAATTGTACCCTCACATTCGTGTAAATCAGATACGCAAGAACCACCTTGTTTCGATAACTATTACAACAGCAGCAGCAACAACAACAACAATAACAACAACAGTAACCACAACAGCAGCACCAGCGGCAGCAACAACAATGACATATTCACAAAAATAAAGTCACGATCGTCACATAATGTTATTTCACTACCACCAATCGTTTATAATGATCCTAGTAATGATGATGATAGTGGTAATATAAAACCTATGAATGTTTGGGAAACAAATTTCGATGCGATGTTGAATACTGATGATATTACTGACTATGGAATATGATGAGTATTATTATTTCGTTTAAAGGAACAATCATTCGTTTCTCATTTCATAATTAATTTTACATATTAGAGTATTTCCATCCATTTTTTATTATTAATTATTCCTATTACTATTGTTACTATATGTATACTAATATTAACACTATCGCTATTGCTATTATATGCGTATTTCGTTTTTGAGATTACATTCGTTTTGTTTGTACTTTTAAAATACTCATAATTATTCAAAACAATTATGGCAGGTAACCTTAATAATTTTTATTTCACCCTCTAATATAATCCTGTGATTAAAAAGACCTCGAAAAAATTACGCGTAGCTTGTTATGTAATTAGATTTCTTTTATGAATACCTTATTGTGCTTTAGATACAGGTTCGCTTAGCATGATAAAATATAATACCGATGCATGTTGTTATTGTTATCGTTATCAATTATATCAATCATTCAACTATTTTATCTATAATGTTCCAAATTATTCTTAAAAAAGATGACGTGTATTTTATCGACACGTTTTACCACGTTGTTCTATTAGGGAATAGTTTCCGAGATTTTTCGGAAGGCAGGAAATAGATTTCTGCAGATTCACAATCGAATTAAAGTTTTTCACCAGATTCTCAATAGAGCAATTTAATTTAAGTCGTTCATTTTCTTCATCAATTATCACGAGAAAATAGACTAATCAATCACACGATGTCGTCTGACATGTGTTTATTGGATCGATATAATATAGAACAGGTTTGTCTCATATCCTAGTTATCAGTCAATCAGAATACGACATTACGGCAAATATTTTAAACAAACAATTACACGTTCTTATTACGGCAAACAGCTTTAAAAACCATATTTTTTATCATGTTAAAGCGAAGTACTTTTCTCTATGATACTTTATCGTTATATTTATGGGGTACTTTACATAGAGGTTACACGTATGTAATTCAGTATTATTAATTAAGATAATAATAATAATAACGATAACAATAAATCTAAATTTATTCAATACAAATACGATTCAATGAAATAAATGTTAAAAGAAAAATTGGTAAACATCACGTTCTGGCATGGTCTCAAGCTCTCTATAAATAAGGCGAGTTAACTGTCTAGCTTTGCGGAATTATTTAAAAACATAAATATATATTACACTATATTATTATTACATGTAAAAATACAAAAATATCTATTATATAAATATAAAAAAGAGGGGAGAAGAGTATGGAAAGAAAATTCTGGAGCTTTCCATGTATTATTGAGCTGCTTCTTTAACACTTTCAACATCAATATCATACATTTTTTCTATTTTACGGCGACGAGCTACGTAAGAAGCGATCACCAACAAGAAATAGATCTAAATTAGATAAAATACAAATTAGTTGAGATAATTTTATTGCTATCGAAAAAAACGAGAAACCATTAATAAAAATTTACCGATAAAATTGTTGTAATGATCTTTGTTGTGACTATTAGTTGTAATCCAAACTTGTATGCTTTCTCACAAACATCAGATGCGTTTGTCTCAGTACATTCTTGTAAGAACGTGGGTTTAACGACGGTGTATAATGTAATATCAATGATACTCATTATTGTGAGTAAAGTAACAATAACATAGGCAAGAATTGCATAAATTCGTAGACGCCTAATCGTTTCTGCAAATGCAACGATAATTATTCCGTAGATTGAAGCGATGACAATAAAAAGATGACAGATTGCTATAGGATAATTATAAGCATCCACATACGAATATACTATAAAGCATTGATAGGGCAAATTAGTTAATTTGCATAAATTACAAACATAAATTCTATTAAAACCTACCGACGGTTGATTTTTTTATTGCCTTGGTATATAGCAAATGAATTATTGAAAAGAAAAGGCCATAAATCTAAAGATTATATATGATTAGTATATTGACAGAAAACTGATTTTATTATCTCTTGGTAAATTACTCATTCTTACCATCCAAAGCGTCAATATTATAAGTACACCCGTTCGAAGATTTATGCAAAAGCAACAATTAGCCAACTTTAGTATTTTATTGCCATCTTTCGATGTTTTTGTCATTTTAAAGTAATAGCAAAAAAATGCGCGTTTCGAAGTTTATTATTGGAGATGAAAATCAAACTCCTTTGATAATTTCCGTGTATGCAGAAATTTATCTGATAGAGCAAAAGGGAGAAAGAGAAGGAAATACGATATTTTCGCACTTAATGTTTAAAAATAATATGTTAAAGCTCATTTCCAAAAGACAGCATTAACCATTCTATTGGTTCTTTGGAAATTGATGGTGTACAGGATTAAAAATTAATATTGCTGTCTATATTTAGCAATAACGGATAACACTAATTTATCAAAAGTTACAAAAAGTAATTTGCTTGTTCTTAATATAGCGATAGTGTATGTACATCGAAGTGTTCTGCACAATAAACTTTAACGTTAATTATCTATCTTGTGTCACATACTCGATGAAAACAACAAATGTAACAAATTAAAGATTTCTTTGGTTTGTAGAGGCATAGGATTTGAAGTTGACGACGAAGCAGAATTTTTGACGGAGAATTTTTAGACAATCCAGTTTACGGAAAGGATTCGGGATAGCTGGTCTTTCGAACAGAATTGATGACCCGTGTCTGGTCATGTGATTTCCGAACATCCGATACCTTGTGATTATTATCGTGAAAACGCCATTTTAATCGCTTCCGTTTGCCGTTTGTCATCTGGTGAATATGCTTTATTTGATTATTGATGATTACTCTCAGTTTTCTAGTCATTTTCTTTCATTAGTGCCAGTGGATCACCAAATTTCTTCGATTTGCATTGATGTTTAAATCATGCGAGCTGCTACTGGTGTTAACCGCATTTACAATATTGCTGGCAAGTATCCTGATATTATATTTTTGGTTTCTTTGTGTGGGTGATGCAGTTTTTCGCTTTAATTCCGTAATGGAATAATTTCAGCTTAACCATAGCCATTGAATTCGACTTTCTGATGGTAACCTCGTTGTTACTGTTGCCGTTACCTGGTTGTCGCAAGTTCAACATTGTATTTTGATTGGTTATGGTTTTGTTGTACTTCGTTATTGGTGGTTTTTGCTGTCTATCGGTATCTTGATAGTTATATGTGCGAATTTGTGGTTGCTGTTGGTGTTTGGTGATGGATTACCTCTTTTCTTTGACATTTGCTTTGGTTAGGATGGTGCCATTCTGCTGGGAATGAGGTGGAACTTCGTTTTCTCCAAATTTTAGTTAAAATTACATGTTAATTATTAAATTATTTGTATGTTGAATGCATTTAAAAAATATTTAATTAATATTATGATCCGGTGCAAAAAGATTTGTATCTCAAAATAAAAGTTAATAATTGTTTCTAATAAAAATCATTCAGAATTTAACTAATCACTATAATTTTTTTACACTAAATAAAGAATAATCTAAACTAATTATTTATATTATTATTTTGCACTTTTATTCAATAATAAATGAAACAATACTTTTCTAAAAAATAAATAAAAAATTATTTTATTTTAAAAAATATATTTTAAGCATTATTTGCAATATTAGAACTTCAAATTCTGCAAGTATATTTGATAAAAATATATTTCAAATTTCATAACAATTAAATTATTTACTATATAGTAAAATTTATGAAATAAGAATTCAAAAAGTTATTACTATGATACAAATAGTTTAAAAACATCAAATATCTTGAACTATAAAGGAATTTTATTTTAAATATATAATAAATATATTATCAAATAGCTTTTGATATAATTTATAATATTATATATTTTTTATTTATTTTATTATAAAAATTGTTGTAATTAGATTTTTTAATATTAACTTTGATAATAATAAGATTTTTAGTACCTAAAATTACATGTGCATTATTTTTAATTGGTTAAATTTTATTATGTAAAATCACATAATTATTTTTCATATAAAATTTTAATTAGTATTATATATAATAACTTATTTAAAAATAATAATTCTTCAAAAACTTTAATAATAATATGATATTTAATATCTTTAAGCTGCTTGTACCATAATAAAAATTTTTTATGAAATATATATAATTAAAATATATAAAAAATAAATTCTAATATTTAATAACTTAATTAAATAAGATAAAATTAAAATTTTATTTTAAAAAATAATTTATTAAATGAGATAAAATTAAAATTTTATTTTAAAAAAATAATTTATTAATAAACATTTATTAATAAAATAACAAATTTTAATATAAAGAAACAATATTAATTTTACTATGTTTTACTATATTTTTTTTTAATTTCTGATAATATAGTATAGAAGTGTATATATATATATATTAATATATCAAAGAAAAATTAATTAAATTATTATTTATATTATTAATAAATTACTTTTTTAATATAAATTAATTAATTAGATAAAATAAATAATTATATATTCATTTTTGAATATATATATAATATTATATTAATTATAATATTATTATCATAATAATATTAAATTTTCTAATTTCTATTTAATTTTAATATAAATATTACTTTTATAAATATATTATTATACAAATAATATAATTTATATTATTATTTTGTAAGAATACTCTCTTATGTGAAAAATATTAAGATAAATTTATTAATTATTGTAAACAAATTATATCAATTAAGATAATTTTCAGTTTTAATTTTAATAAAGTTTATTCTTTATTTATTAAATAGTGAAAAGATCTAAAGAACTATAGTACAAAACAGAAATATTTAAATATATAATTAATATTTAACAAATTACAAATAAATTAATAATAAATAAAAGGATAATTTGTTCTAAATTATTAATCTTAAAGATAATATATCTTCAAGTTATGCTATACTTAATTAGATATATATAAAATATAAATAATAATATAAATATTAATAAAAATAATTAATATAAAATTAAAATAATTAAAAATAATGTGTATATAAATTAATAATATAATTTATATTTTATATTTAATCTATTTGGTAAAATATTAAAAAGTATTAAATATAGATCTGTATTAATTTCTTATATATTATATGAAAAATAATAAATATAACACAAGAAATAATACAAAAAAATACAAGTGTATATAAAAATTGTTACATATTTAATATTATTAAAAATATTTAAAAATATTTTTTATTATTATTTAATATTAAAAATATTTTATTATAAGAGATATATAAATAATATTATTCTTGAACTTTTGAAAAGATATGCTCTAATATTAATAATAAAAAAATTCTCACTTGTAAATTTTTATTTGTGAATATACTATTATCTTCAAAACTTGTATACATATAATAAAAAATTTCTACTTTAAATAAATTATATTTTAATTTTGATTATATTATATTTTATTTATTAATAGTTATAATAAGTTCAATAATTATTTTATTTTATTAATAATAACAATAAGTTTAATTATTATTTTATTTTATTAGGTAGTCTCAATAATTTTTATTATTTTTTTAATAATTATTCTATTTTTATCTTATTTATTTATTTAATTACAGTTAAATTTCTCTATAGTTACCATTCTCATGAAAGCAAAATTTGGTGATTATAGGGAGAATGTAATTATAAAGAGATTTTTTACTATATTTATATATAAATAGAAAAGCAAAATAGGGTGACTATAGAGAAATATGACTATAAATAGATATGATTATAGAGAAATTTGACTGTATTTTACTTGTTTCTATTTTTATCTTTAAAATTAAAACAATTTGTATACAAGTTATTACAAATAATTTTTAAAATCACAAAAAACTCTTTATTATATAAATCATTCAATTTAATCTCTAACTAATTATTATAACTATATTATTCTTAACTTCTTAATCTTTTTATTAGTTATAATAATATTATTTTTTTGTCAAAAATTTTTTTGAATTTTTTTTTATAAGGTAGATATGAATATTATAAAAAATATAAGTATTATAATGAATTGAGATATCTCATAAACTAGTGCTATGCTTACTTTAAATGAAGAGTTTCTTTACTATTAGTAAAAGAGTCATATGAGTTAGAAGAGAGGAATAGATTAATAAAATTGGTCAGTGCAAAAATAAATATCTAAGCTTGTACCAATTTCAACAGAAATTGTTAAACAATTCTATCAAAGATGAAAAAAGGAGTTGAGAGAGTGTGTTCAGAGAGGTGATTGATAAAAAGAAGCTACTAACTAAAGAAAAGAGTATTAATATTTCTATACTTGTAGTCATACATTCTAGTACTTTCAATACCAAAAAAAATGAATAATTAAAAGAAATATCACTTATTTAAAGTTGTGATGCACAACTATACAAATCAATATCACTTATTTAGAGTTGTGATACATAACTATACAAATTAATATCACTTATTTAAAGTTACGGTGCACAACTATACCAAAAATAATGCTATAGCAAATTAAAATACTTATCCAAAAATACTTAACTGTCTTTTCCAAAT